GCATTGCTACTTGAGTCCTATCCCTAGAGATTCTGATTTGGTCCAGCAGCAGCACGGAACTGTGCTTCCAAGTTCCCTAATTCTAATGGTCAGCCAAAATTAAGAACCACTGTTTTAATCAAAAATAGAGGGAGAAGGGAAATGCACTGAACTATGGTGATGACACATGGGTGATTTGGTGATGGGAGCCCACAGGGATTACAACTGAGATGAAAAAAATGCATAAAATGATGTAAAAGTAAATTATTGTATTTTTAAAAAATTAAGAACCACTGTTTCAGACTCTAGATCAACAGTAAAACTGTTAATCAATTTGCTCTGTCTACAAGCTAAGGAAAATCAGTGTGTAATCACCTACTCTCATCATGAGCAAACAACCAAGGATTCCTAGACAACCTCTGGGAGGATTTCTACTATTGAGACTAAACCCAACAGAAATTATGCAAGGAAAAGAAAACTTTTATCTTTAACATTTTCATGCAGATAAGGGAAGATAAGGCATCCAGGAAACAAGAAAAGAGGAGGAGGAATAAGTAACTGAGTAGAGAAGGCTAAAGGCAAACTCTGCAGAAAGGAATATGGTTAAGAAGTTGACCTGCATCACAGTCTCCAATATACAAAGCAGGGTGGAGAACGGGACTGAGGAGTAGGTTAGTGGTTTAAAACCTATATAAAGTTTTTATAAAGCTTATATAGAAACTGCCAGATTTCGTTCTCCACAACTCACATTCTCTCATAAATTGATTCTTTAGAAACAATAAGTTGGAGAAACTCCAGACTTGAGAAGAGTGGAGTGAAGCTCAATATTAAAAATCAAGGGATTAATAGCCCTCCCTGGTGGCGCAGCGGGTTAATGCACTGCAAAAGAAGCTTAAGCCACTTCCACATGAGTTCGAACCTCGCCTGCCAGGGAGGTGACCACATGGCGCTGCAGACCTCTCCTGACCCGCCCACTGCTCCCCTCAGCAGTGCACTTCATTGATCTGCCTGTTCTGCTCCTCACTCTGTCCCTGGTGAATTCTTTCACCCTCCACATCTCTGTATGAATAAATAAACCTTTAAAAAAAAAAATCAAGGGATTAAGCAGCAGTGTATATGGTGAACAGCAGCCCCCACCCACAATCCACTTGCTTTGCCCAAGCTCTCAAAACATGAGAGCAAAACACAGAAACACAGACACCCCCAGTTTGAGTTTAAAAACTCATTTGCATGCTGCCAACCCTATTCTTGCAAATGCACACTTCTCCTTGTGTGAGGATAAAGGTCTTTTGTTGAATTTCTATTACCCTCTCTTAGACTCAAAGCTCAAGGACAAAGGCAACATCTTTGTTAGCTTTTAATTCTCAGTGTCTAACATAGTGACTATACATATACTAAATATCCCATAAATCTTCAACTGGTCCTACATACTGGAGATATTGCAAAAAACATAAAATTGAGTTGGAAAACTAAAACATTAAAGATGCCACTTAGGTGCTGAATGAAGATTAGAAGACGTAGAATTTATTGATAAATGATGTCTGGAATTTTTTTTAAAGGTTTATTTATTTATGCATGCAGAACTAGGGTACAGGCCAGAGGTGCAGGGGCGGTGAGAGGATTCACCAGAGACAGAGTGGGAAGCAGAACAGGCTGACTGACGAAGTACACTGCTGGGGGGTGCAGCGGGCAAGTCAAGGGAGGTCTGCAGTGCCATGTGGATCACCTCCAGGGCGGGTATCGATCTCATGCTGAAGTGATTTTAGTTTCTTAGTACTGTGTTTTAACCTGCTGTGCCACTAGGGAGGGCCTTGGAATTTATTTATTTATTTATTTATTTTTATTTATTCATACAGAAATGGGTTACAGGCAGAGGGTGAGAGGATTCACCAGGGAATCGGGAGCAGAACAGGCAGATCGACAAAGTACACTGCTGAGGGGAGCAGTAGGCGGGCCAGGAGAGGTCTGCTGTGCCATGTGGATCTCCTCCAGGGCAGGCAGGGATCGGGGATCGAACTCATGGGAAGTGGTTTAAGCTTCTTAGTGCAGTGCTTTAACCCGCTGCACCACCAGGGAGGGCCCTGGAATTTATTTTTAAATAATCCCAGGGCACCCACCACGTCCTCAAAAACAAAAAAACAAAACTGTGGTATTACTAGATACTGGCCACAAATATTTCAAAACATTATTTACAGTAATATCCAAAAAAGCAGACGTCTTAAATATTAACAAAGAGAGGTGCAAGAGTTCTACAGAGAAAACTACAAAACTGAGAAAAATGTTAAAAGGCCTGAGTAAATGGAACTCCAACATGTTCATAAATTGGATATAGATTTAATTCCAATTTCCAAAATATATAGAATTTGGTGAACGGATTCTGGAATTCACGAAGTCCAATCTTAGAGAGCAATCTTGGAAGCCTTATACTACCAAGTGTCAAGATTTACTACAAAGTTACATGAATTAATATGATATTGGTGCAAGGATAACAGACCAATGAAACAGAATAATGTTATCCAGACACAGATATACATGTCTATAATTACCTGATATATGAAAACTGGGCGCCTCCCTGTTCGCGCAAGGAGTTTAAAGCACAGCGCTATGAAACTATTCACAGCTACTGCAGTACTAGTTCCATCTCCCTCCTAGGCAGGGAACTGACCCACAAGGTGCAGCAGACCTCTCCAGACCTGCCAGCTGCTCCCTCAACAGTGTATTTCAGTACATCTCCCTGTTCTTCTCCCCACTCTGTCTCTGGTGAATCCTTTCACCACCCCCCCACACACACACACCTCTGGGCTGTACCCCTTCTTGTAAGCATAAATAAACCCTAAGGGAAAAAAAAAAAAAAAGGACCACACAGTACAAAGGGACAAGGACAGTAAAGCCAATAAATAGTGCTGATCAAACAGACCCATATGGTAAAAAACAGAATCCTGACCCCCATAATCCACTTGGAATTTACTGTGAATTGTACAGCTTAAATGCAAAAAAAAAAAAAATGTAAGGAAACACAGGAAAGTATCTTCATATTTTTAAGCTCCCATAATCCACTTGGAATTTACTGTGAATTGTACATCTTAAATGCAAAAAAAAAAAATTATGTAAGGAAACAGGAAAGTATCTTCATATTTTTAAGCTAAGGCAAGATTTCTTAAGTAGAAAGCAGTAATCTTAAAGGGAAGTATAAAGTGTATGTCATTAAAATTAAAAACTTCCACTATCAAAGACACAATGAATGAAAAGGCAAGCTACAGAGTAAAATAAGGTATTATCTATCATATATGTATATAATACCTGATTCAAAGTAGTTACTATGTGGGGTGTCCTCAGAGAAAAGACTTAAGGTCAATCTTTAAAAATTAGACTTAACAGGCACTTCATAAAAGAGGGCATATAAATGACCAGTAAGAGACACCCAAACATAATCATCAGAAAAATGCAAAATAAAATCACACTGAAACATTACTATACCAGAATAGCAGCGATTTAAAAAAAAAAACAAAAAACAGATAAGCATCAACAGGAATGTGGGATAACTGGAATATCATTCCACGCTAAGTGGTACAGACATCTTGGGAAAAGCGTCAACAGTATCTAATACTAAAGTTTTGTCATTCACATACCTCACAAGCCAACAATTGCACTCTCAGATAAAAGCCCCAGCTTACACATTCTATTTCTTGAGTTGTGGTGGAATACTTGGTCAAAATCCTTAACTTGCACACTTCAGGCTGTGCACTATTACTGTATATTATATTTCAATAAGCTGCCTACAACTTCTTTGACACGAAGTTCTGAGATCTTAAGGCTAGCATTTTAGAATAGAAATAGAGTTTCTAATAAACCGAAGAAAGCTCACTAATTAAAAAAAAAACGAATAACATATCAGCACAAAACAAAATCTTCAACAGATAGTTTTTCTTGATCTTCGGAAGTATTATATTGCTTTTCTTTTTTTTTAAGATTTATTTATTAATGCATACAAGAACAGAGATTCAGGGGTGAAAGGATTCACCAGAGACAGAGTGGGGAGCAGAACAAGCAGAGTGACTGAAATACACTGCTGAGGGGAACAGCAGGGAGATAGGAGAGATCCGCCACGCCACATAGATCAAATCCCTGGCCGGGATCGAACTCGGTGCTGCAGTGACTATGGACCGCTGCTGCGCTTTAATTCACTGTGCTACCAGGGAGGGCCCCCCTTTCTTTTTTTCTTTCTTTTCTTCTCTGCCCACCCCCAACCCCCACCCCCCAGGGCAAAGAAAGTTTACTACTCAACACTGTAACCCAAAGAAAAGATACTTTGGCAAGGAACCCTCTAGCAGCAACAGACAGTAGCAAAGCGAAAGAACCACACGTAACGTTTTGGTTAACTTTGCGGTGAAAGCATGCCAACTGAGTTGATCCAAGACGCTCAAAAGACAGAAGGAGATACAAAGAAAATCACAGCAACTCTTAAAGCAAACATCAACACCACAATCCAACATCCCGGAAACTCTGTGGTTAATTTGAGGCTTGCCCCGCTAGTCATAAAGTGATTCAGTGATGGCTACAACGCTCCCCAACAGCATCCCTGCGAGTCCCCAAGCACACCTGGTGTGCCCATCACATGCCTGGAGACACAGTTTTGCACGGAATCCCAGAGGTCAGGTACAGACGCCAACTTTGTCCGTCAGAGGCTCAAGCGGTTTCTCGCCCCATTAGGACACACGGAGGGCACAAACTTGTGGCCTCGGAGGCCGGGGAGACGGCTCTACCCGGGAGCACCAGCCTCCCCGGGACTCCCCTGGGAAACCCGCCAGCGAGTTTCTTTCCCAGCGCCGCCAGAGGGTCCTGGGCCGCCGCGGCCACAGGAAACTTAGGCCCTGGCGAGGCCGGGCGCGTCCGCACGCTCGCGCCGCAAGTTTGGCGGTCGCCCCCACTCGCCGCGCGTCGGCCCCGCAGTGCGCCCCGACGAAGCCGCGCTCGCCACCGCCCGGCCTCCCCGCCCGCGGGCCTGGCACGTCGCCCCTCACCTTGGAGACGTAGGGTGGACTCCGGCGTAAACATTAACTTCCCATCCAGCCGGCAGCCGCGCCGCCGCGTCTCAGCGCCTCGGCCCCGCTCCGGGTTCCGCCGGCCGCTCTCTTCGCCCTGAGCGTCGCGCTGGCTCGGGAATTCAGGGTGTCTCCGACCACCCGGCGCCCCTCGGGAGCAGCGGCGACCTCAACTACCAGCCGACCCCTCGCCGGTCCGCCTGCGGGCTCCTCCGGGGTCCGGCCCGGCCGCGTCAGGGAAACCCAAGGCGCAGGCGCGGCGAAGCCTTAAAGAGACCGGGCCGCCTCTACCGCATAATGGGTTCGAGCAGGTTAGGGGCCGAGCGGGCGGCCGAGGAAAGGCGAACCCGACTGGATTGGGCCTTGGAGAACGAGGGCGGGGAAATCCCGCTCCCCCCACCCCTTCCCCTCCGCCTCCCAGTTAAAGCACCAGCCCTCCGTCCTACAAATTGCTGACTTCCCCAGCCTCTCGGACCGCCCCTTGCACCGCTGAGCTGCGGAAGACACACCCCCTCCGGGACCCGAGCGACCCTATGCTCAGGGCTGCGGGCCTCGCGGGGCCGCACCGCCCACGCGCCTGTCTTCCAGGCCACCCGCGTGCCTTTTAGACGCGCAGGCTTCGGAAGGCCGCCGGAACTCCCAGAGGTCACCTAGGTCACTCTCAAAAACAATAATCAATGTGTAAATGATACTTGAATTGCAAAGCACTCTACCAACAACAGTATGCAGTTGAAAGAACATGGCACAGGTACATGAAGTCCAGACAGGCAGCCATCCAATATCAACGAAGAAATTCTTAGAAAGAAAATACTTGGTTTGGAACAGAAACAACCTTCTAATTCTGTTCTAATCCCAGGAAAAATAATAAGGGCAATGTAATTACTCTCGGTATCCATTTAGAAGTGATGTAAGTGATAATAACTATCAGCACTAAAAAACTTAAGTGATTTGACCAGAAATTAGAGAGCCTTGATTATTTTCTAATTGAAATTTATAATTTCCAAAAGGGGTTCCACTGTAGTAGTCACTTCAGAAAAAGAAAAACTTCACTCAAAACAAAAACCAGATGAGGAAATACACCCCCCAAAAAAATAGGAAGTAGAAACCCATCCTCCACCCAGCTGAAAATTTTGAAACTTCAATGAAGCAAAGTTGCTTAAGTTCAGGACATTCCATTTTCAAGTCAATTTCGATTAATTTCATTGCTAGGGAATCCCTCTTCAATAAGAAGTCAAAGAGACATCTCAGATAATATCTTTCATCTATAAGGAAATCATATTGATTATACTCCCAAAATTTCCCTGAATCTTCCTCCATCTTCAGCTTATTCCAAACTGCCTTTGGGAAGGGGAGTTACTACTAATTTTTGTCTTCTAATTGGTTTACCTACATGCTCCAACGCCCCTCTCCTCTCCACACAAAAGGCCAGGAAACCTTGCCACCTCCCAGTAAAAACACTTCATTGGCTTCCCATTTTTTTTTAGACAAAATCCCTTAATTAAACAAGTCCTGCATGGTCATGAAAAAAGAGATAAATAGCTAAACACTGAAATAGGATCTAAACAGCCATGGGTTATAGAGCTATGGCTGAATCTATACAATAAAGTGCTACAGTTGGTCAAAGGGCAGTGCTCAGAGCTACTGGCAAGCTTTGTTTCCCCTGTTTGGAAAATAAATCCCATTGTTGCTGTTCCTTGAGCCTGAGGCATCTTGTAATTATGCCCACAGATGAGCACCCATACACAGTGACCTGTCTTCTATTAGGCACTGTGTTTGGCCAGCTATACCTATTGCAAGTCTGGACATAGCTATAGCCATATAGTCCTTGGCTGTTGGGGTTTTTGGGCTCTTTTGAGCCTTCCTGTTTCAGTCAGATTCTTTACCCACCTCTCCACCCCTTCTCACTGCTCAGATTACATTCCATCTTGATATTCCTGCTCCAATCATATTGGCCTTTCCCAGTCCTCCCTGCACTGATATTTTGCATAGGCTTTGCTCTGTACCTGGAAGTTTCTTCCAAACCTCATCATTCTGATCTCATCTCTGGCATCTAGCTCTTAGACGCAGCTTCTGGCCCCTCCCATCATGGTCCACTCCTATCACATTGTACTGAAACTGAAGTGTACAATTATTTTTTATGAATTTTTGTTTCTCCCACTGGACAATTATATCCATACACCCGGAAGCTTGGCTTTCTTTGGTCTAGAAGCTGTTTTTCCACATGTATTTATTCAACATGTATTTATTTAATCAATGAATGAGAATAACAGAATGTTAGAACGTGAACTACTTGTGTCTTAAAGGTTACTTAAGTCATAGAAGGTAAATGTCACATTTGACATTTGTAATCAGAGTCTGAAAATGGATTTTATATTGTTTTACCTGGATTGTCACAAGAATCTCTGGGTAACCTTTAAAACTTAGTTCTCAAAGCACCTTACATAAACCCCAGAATTAATGATAGCTGCAGGATGGGCCCTCGAAAAATCACATTGGTTGCTCTAAGGGAGAAAGATTGAGTTACTTGGGAGGGAGGGGTTAGGAGAAGTCATGAGAAGGAGACTTTTGACTTCATGCCCTTTGTACCTATTTATTTCAAGCCATGTGAATGTATTACCTATTTGAAAATAAATAACACAAGAGTGCACAGTGCATGGCTCTAATTATTTGAAATTCCAGAAAAGACAAAACTAAAATAATCATGCTTCAGTCAGAGAATTGACATGAAGGAATTTTCTGGGTGACGTAGGTGATAAAAATATTCTGTATTGTGCTATGATTTACCCATGTGTTTTCATTTTGTCAAAAAAAGTGTGCAGTTAAGGGCCTCTCTGGTGCCACAGGGGTTAAAGTCTCAGGGCTATCAAGCTATTGGCAGCCACTGCAGCATGAGTTCCATCCCCGGCCAGGGAGCTGACCCACATGGCCCTGCAGGCCTCTCTTGCCTCGCCTATTGCTCCCCTCAGCCATGTATTTCAGTTCTGTTTCCTACTCTATCTCTGATGAATCCTCTCACTTCCCTGTACCTCTGATCTACACCCCCGTTTCTTTATGCATAAATAAATAAAATAAGTCTTTTAAAAATCTCTGGTGTACTAGATGTATCATCTCAAATGAGCCCATAGGCCTGAGCAGAGAAGCTGGTAGCACCACCTGTGACACTCCAGCACTACCCCTGGCTTCTCCCTTTCCTTCACTCACCTTGAGCAACTTATTTGATGGAAAAACTTACACTCAAAACTTTTTACTGAAATAGCAAAATCTAACCAGAGACACAGCTCATTCCAACCTCTCACGAGTGCTTGAGCACTTGCGTAAGTGAAATTCCACTGTGTGAATTCCACACCAACGACTCAGTCCAGCTCTCTGCCTCTGCTCTTTACATTCTGAGACTTCAAACTAAAGTAGATGATAAAGTATGGGTGCAGTGGGCAGTGGCACCCTCCTCCCAGTTTAATTTGAAGTAAAACTCAGCTAGCAATTCAGTGTTTTCTATTTTCAGATGCATTGGTTTGTGATATTCTCAGAGAAGGAAGCAAAAAGTGCGTGAACTCTACTTCCTTACACCTGGCAGGAAGGGTTAAATCTCAGAACAGTGGTGCTCTTAACTACCGGGGCTGGGGGTGGGGGTTTATAAATCTGCCAGGTGAACCTCATTGCTCACAGGAAAAATAGCCAAAAGAGGCATTCTCCTGACCGGGTAACAATTACCCACCATGGGTAGCACAACACCAATGGAGTCAAACCACCTGGTGAAGAAGCACTCTCTCTCCCTGCTAGCCAGTATTTGGGGTGTCCTTATAGAACCAGGCCAGGGCAGCTACTTTCTAGGATTACATGGTCCAATACCACAGCCACTAGTCATATATCACTATTTACACTTAAATTTAAATGAATTAAAATGTGTGACAGTTTCTCTGTCACACGCTAACATTTCAAGTGCTCAATAACAGCCATATATAGTTAGTTACTGGTTATTGTTGGGAGTGACCAAGTGCGGAGATAACACATTTACTGACAGGACTAGATAAGGGCGGTAATAAATGGGCCTCACATCCAAGGGTGATAATTAACTGGACCTAGCATCAGGGCTCACAGCGATGAGTCACCGCGTTGGAATCTGAACCTAGAATCTATATGAGACCCTTTCCCCAATAGCACTGGCAGTAGCTACGGACCCCACCCTAGAGGCTCTGTCTTAGCTGCTGCCCAGGAGCAATAAACTTTACTAGCTCAGCCTTTCTGCCTCCCGTCTTTTTCCTTGCGGCCCGTCATAGAAGTTGGAGTTAAACAGTTATTATCTTGGACAGCACAGATATAGAACATTTCCGTTTCCAGGAATTTCTCTTGTCAGTGCTATTCTTTAAAAAGGAGAACTAACACTCCAGTGCAGCTCCAGCTAATGCTCAAATTGTTTTATTTTGCTTTGAAAACATGAAGACTATTAAATAGGGATAGCCATTTCACTTGGTTCTTTGCTTTCCACTTTCCATACACTGAGATATAAAAATGGCTTTGACCTAACCTGACCTTACCGCTATACCTCCACCACACTCCTTTATTTTCAAGACACTGCTGTTTAAAAAAGAATAAGGGGAAGGGGAAAGATGAGAACAAACTGGGGAGGGGAGGGAGCTAGAGGACGCTGGTGGTGAATTATGGGTACTTCGGTGGTAGATCCACTGTGGTAGAACACTTGAAGGTGAGGGTCCTGTACCCCACAAAATACAAACAACAATGTAAACCAACATTACCTCAATAAACACAAACATAAAACATTCACAGTCACTCAAACCTATTGATACCTCTTGGCACTTGCCTGCAGACAGAAACTAGATCTGTCAGTTCTGGTAAAGAGCCAGTCCTCTGACTCTAGATTGGGCCTCTTTTCTTTATGGGTACTAGACATTCACAGTAGCAACCCAACAATAACCTCTGAAGTTGCAACCAAGGTGGGAAATCAGTAATGTACTAATTTCGATCCCACCCAACAAAAGAAGTCCATTTTTTATTTGACATCCCCAAATAGTCCGAAATATTAAAAGCAAGAAAAAAATTAGTGCAACTATACGCATCTAGCAAAAATGATGAAACAGTGCCTTTTGGGACAAACTGGATGGATATGGAAGTTAATAGGCTAAATGGAAAAAAAATGAAAGACAAGTTACCCAATAGTTTCACTCAATTGTGGAATTTAAATAACTAAAGAAAAAAAAACTGACAAACATAGAAAGTATAATTCTTAGACTCTTTGGAAAAAATACTGGTTACCCAAGAGAATGGGGGG